GTGCCAAGGTCTCAACTTTGAACTGGTACATCTAGGAACGGTAAAAGTAGTTTTTTTCACGTTGTAATGGTTATGGCCTAATGGCTGAAAGGGGTTTCCGGGACCTCTCCACAGGTGATCCTCATCCACATGGTGGCACTTTGTGTTCCTGGGTGTTTATCGCTTGTGTGATATCCTGGTGGGGTACAACTACCTACCTAACTTGTAATGGTTTATCTTCACCATCCCCCCTTGAGGGATGCTATTTTTTGTTATTTTGAAGCCCCACCCTGGCTTTTGCCATGGGCCTGCAATAAAGCCTAATGGTTGAATGCAGTTTCCGGAACCTCTCCACAGGTGATCCTTATCCGCATGGTGGCACTTTGTGTCACAACTGGAATTTATCAGTCTGTGTGATGTCCTGGTGGGGTAAAAATTTACTTACTTACATGATGTATTTCGTGTCTTGTTTATGTTAGCATAGAATGCAGCAGCTTGCTGTTTATCAGATGTTGATGTTAAAATGTCATCCAAAAATCAGTTGTAATGGAACAAATCATTCACGTCTACGGATTTCATTTGTTCAAAATGAGCCATGAAGAAGTTGCCTTTTCTTTCTTCTTTAGTCCATTTTCTGCTGTGTGCTGCTAGGCATTGCAAGTTAACAGATAATAGGTTTCGGAGCTAGGTCACACTCGGCTGCTTGGTATACTGTGATAATGTGGAGTCTTAAGAAATCAGCAACTCCTTCAATCCATCTTCTTCTAGTTGATTTAGGTGGTCCTGTAGCTGAGGATAAACTTTACTGTGTAATGGGCACTGGTCATCTGCAAATAGGAGTTCGAATAAACTTTCCTGTTCATAAGATGTCTAATCATTCAGATTTTTTTAAAGGATAAATAAAAACTCACTGAATGAACATTAACCAGAATCTACAGATCTAGACCTTAAAACAGAGCAGAGCGACCTGAAAAGAGTCAGAGGTTAATAGAATTGCTACTGCCCATTTTATATGATGGGAGCTGAGCTACAGCTGTGGCTGGACACTCATCTGCTGGCCTGAAGTTTTACAGTTTGAATCTTTTAAAAACAACTGTCTCCCAGGTTAAAAAATGAGTACCAGGGACTGTTCTTGGAAACATACATACACACACAACATATCAAGGATTATCAAGTTAACATATAAACAGTACCTGCAGATTGTTCTTTGAACGGCAAGCATAAGAACAAAGGGGGCAAGCAAACGGTCTGATTCCCTCATGAATCCATATATGTTTCTGCAGCTCAGAATTTGCACGAATAAATATACGAGGGCAGTGCGGGCACTTGAATGATCGACGTCCTGAAAAAAGGTTACATTACTGGTAATTAAACAAATTGAGTTACAAACTCTAAAAAAAAATGGAAACGGCTTAGAAGATATAAATATACAGAAAACAAAGTTGAGATGAGTTAAGAAGCAACACCCCAGCAATTTGGTCATTCCCATATGTGCTCCATACTCATCTTCAGCAATCAGCCCCAATGCCAATGGTGCCAGCAGCAGTTTGATAATATGTCCACCTTGCCTTTCCTCTGAGTATAGTGTTGGCCAGGCCCCGTGGTCACTCTCTGCTGCACACACACTATCATGATCTTTCTGCACTTCTGTATGATGCAGCACCAGCCATTCTGACTGCAGTTGACTGATTTCAACACTTCGGTCTGCCTCACTTCCATTTCTTCTTTGCGTTCACCAGCTGTAAACTCCGGCAGGAAGTTCTTGGTGCTCCTCCATTCCAGACTTTAGTCTTGTTCTACAACCTGAGTGTTGCGTGCACATCCATTTTACAGATCTGGCTTATTTGTATACAGACTCTTGGTTCCTTGCCTCTCAGGCAGATGTGTTCTGACTTCGAAAGAGGCCTCCAATGAGTCAACTTTTATGACATGCTTGTTGGAGGAGGCAGTGGGTCTATTCTTGTTTTTTCCCACAATGGGGCCCTGGAAGCCAATGGGGATCCTCCCATTTAACTTCTTTGTGTATATTTCTTTGTTTATGTCTCTCTGTTATTTACCATTCTCTCCACATGACCCAACCAGTGCAGTCTATACGTCCCTCTTAATGCCAGTAATTAGATGCGATTTAACCTTTTCTGTCCCAATCAGCATTCAGTGTGTGATCAGTTTTCATCAGTGTGTATCAAACAATAACCTGTGTGTAATTAAACATTTTACATTTGGTCTGAGCTTGCTGAATAAATCTGACAAGATTTGTGTCTTATAACTCCTTAACATTTTGAAATAAAATGTTCTGCTACTGAAAGAGTTAAAAAAAAAAAAAACAATTTGTGAATTTTGTAGTTGCTTCTTTTCAAACCATCGAGCACACAAACCACATACACCAGTGGTTCCCAAACTGTGCACCGCGGCGCCCCGGGAAGCCACAACCTCTTCAAAAGGGGCGCCGCAAAATATTGTAAAAGCTTCATAATTAATTTAACCAAAACACAAATAGTCATACTTTTACTTAGGTTAGGGCGCCGTGGACAAAATGTAATAGAAAAAAGGCGCTACGGCCAAGAAAAGTTTAGGAAACACTGACATACACACAAAGAGACCTGGACGATGGCTCACCCATTTTGCCGAGCGGCTTATGCCTGTAACCGGTCAGTTTCTCCAGGGTATCATTATCAACATCCTCATGGACATTCAGAATGTGAGCTCGCAGTTGTTTCATCCTGTGCAGTAGAAAGTCACTAATATTGAAGACACACATTCTTCTAGGGAGCTGCCATAGTGTAGCGGCTAGATGCTCACCCACAGGCCCAGAGGTCTGGGGTTTGGAATCTACATCGAGTCTTCAAAATTGACCATGGCTCTCAGGTTGACCCAGCCTGTCTCAAATGGATACCAGGTAATGTCCTGGGAAGTAAAGGCGGCCAACAGGATGCTGACCCCATCAACCACCAAGTTAAGATTGGTCTATACAAAATGAGCCTAGCATATCTGTCTGATGCGTCACTGGCATTGAAAAAAGGAAGGTCCTTTACTTTACACAGTGATTCTTCATAAACAAGAAATAAGATAATAAAATGAAATAATGGGTATATTCACATAAGATAAAGGCATTCCCAACTAAGGTAAGAAGAGGATATTTACACATAAAATAAAAGGATATTCACAGGCATGATAAGATATTAAGAGAAACGATAAGATACTGACATCAAAAATGAAATTAACATCTGAGATGACAGGATATTTATATCTAAGATAAGAGGATATTCACATCTAAGATAAGAGGATATTCACATTTAAGATGATAGGATATTCACATCTAAGATAGGAGGATATTCACATCTAAGATAGGAGGATATTCGCATCTAAGATAAGAGGATATTCACATCTAAGATAAGAGGATATTCACATCTAAGATAGGAGGATATTCACATTTAAGATGATAGGATATTCACATCTAAGATAGGAGGATATTCACATCTAAGATAGGAGGATATTCGCATCTAAGATAAGAGGATATTCACATCTAAGATAAGAGGATATTCACATTTAAGATGAGAGGATATTCACATCTAAGATAGGAGGATATTCACATCTAATATAGGAGGATATTCGCATCTAAGATAAGAGGATATTCACATCTAAGATAAGAGGATATTCACATCTAAGATAAGAGGATATTCACATTTAAGATGATAGGATATTCACATCTAAGATAGGAGGATATTCGCATCTAAGATAGGAGGATATTCACATCTAAGATAAGAGGATATTCACATTTAAGATGAGAGGATATTCACATCTAAGATAAGAGGATATTCACATTTAAGATGATAGGATATTCACATCTAAGATAGGAGGATATTCGCATCTAAGATAAGAGGATATTCACATCTAAGATAAGAGGATATTCACATTTAAGATGAGAGGATATTCACATCTAAGATGAGAGGATATTCACATCAAAGATAGGAGGATATTCACATCTAAGATAGGAGGATATTCACATCTAAGATAGGATATTCACATGTAAGATAAAATGATATTCACATCAAAGATAAGAGAAAATTCACATATAAAATAAAAGACTCTAGTTTGGGACGTGATGATGACTACCTTAACAACACCCCTCTTTGTCATCTTCTGTAATCACCCTTAAAAGGGCGATTTGTATGTTGTGTAGCTGTTGACAATTAGGCTGTGATATCTTCACCTTTCATCCTAACACATCTGATTTAAGCAAATTCTAAACTAGTCACCTTGTTTGACATGGTCACTTAGAAGCAGAGGGTCTGTCCCACCATCCCCCCTCCCCACGCAGAAAAAGTAAACCTGATGCTCAACTGCTGGGGGTATGGGAAGGTGGGAGAGGGAGGGATACAAAAAACGTGTACTGATGCAACAAAGTATTTTTACTGACATCTTTATCAAAGACTAGAGTAAAAAAGGAGAACCAAACACTACAACCCAAAATGGTAGATTCACATGGAGAAAGTACTAGAACAGTATTTATGAAAAGTGGGAACAGGAAGAGCTGTTGTGAAATTAAACATAAACCAAGCAATGAAAAGAAAGATTTAAAACTGTAATTAAAAATATATAGGGCCCCATGTGTGTGTGTGTGTGTGTGTGGGGGGGAGGGGGGAGGATAGAATAAGCCCAAATCTACAAGCATTTCATAAAATGTAACTAATTAAAGCAGCGACTCTCAACCTTCCTTATGCCACGACCCTTGAATAAAGTTCCCTCATGTTGTGGCAATCTCTAAACAATCATTTTCCTTCATGACGATGTTAGGCGACACCTGTGAAAGAGTCGTTCGACCCCAAAAAAAGGGTACGTGACCGCCAGATTGAGAACCACTGAATTAAAAGTTTAGAATCGTGTCCTCCTCTTCTTGTTTTAATTGCTGATAAAGAGTTTAGTCGTAATGACCAACAGTGCCTGTGGGAGTTCTCAAAGGCTCAGAGTGCTAAAGAAGAAGAAGAAGAAGACTGGTATGAAGAAGTAAAAAAAAAACATACCCATCAAACTTGTGAGGACATTTAGGACAAGACAATCCATTGATGCCCAGGTGCTTCAGCTGATGGTTCCACAATCGTGTTCTTGTAGGTGCCAGGAAGTCACACTCCTTGCACCGAAATGCCACTTTATCATGCTCTCTCTCTGAATGCTTTTTCAGCTGATCTTTGGTGGTGCCTCGGAAGCTACAGCTTGCGCATGCAAAAGGTTTGTCTCCTGTAGACAAGAAATATCACAATGAAGTGATCATTAATCATCTACTTGCACATAATGCAGTGAGGCTTCACTTCTTCTTCTTCGCGTTGACTGTCTGTAAACTCTGGTGGAATTTTTTTTTACATTTGTCCACCTCCGGACTTTAGTCTTGTTCCAGAACCTCAGTGTTGCGTGCACATCTATTTTACATTTCTGACTTATCTGTAGGTTCCTTGTTGCTCAGGCAGATACACTTCGAATGAAGCCCCAATTAGTCGACTCTTTGGACTGAGCCTCGAGAGGCAGGGGGTAAGAAGTGTTGGTGTTGTGGGTAGTGGTTTTCCCCCCTTACTTCACCCTAGGTCTAGTGAATATCTATTCACGAAAGGAGCGTATATTGCAGTGTCAGCCTCTAGACCTAGCATAACCTCTCTTACCCCAAGACCATTGTGCGTGGCGAAGAGCCACACCCTCCCCGAGGTAGTCCTGGTAACTGGGGGTGCGAATCCCCAGGCCAAACACAATGGATCTAGAGGAGCAAACCTTGATAAAAAACCTGGTGCACCACACCGTACTGCCCCCTGTGGGAGGGAAGGAGCTGGATGGGTGCAAAACAGTCTTAGGAGTGGAAACAAGTATGCTAACCCCCTGAATACTCAGTTGCTTAGAGCCAAGAAGAGGTCAGCGAAACCTGCAGGCAATCTGGTGGCGGGGAATGAGCACACTGTGAGCCCCACCTTAGCAAGGTGTCAAAGGGGAAGGCAGAAACACAATCCATATTTCCCTAAGAACTGACACAGCGCACTTCTGGCTGCTGTCCGGGGAGTGAGGTAATCCACAGACACCCCAGCAGCACAAATACCATAAACATGAAAGAGTCGTCTCTTACGACATGCTTTTTAGGCAGGCAGTGGGTCTATTCTTGTTTTCCCTTACAAAGGAGCCCCAGAACCCACAGGGGGATAAGACTCAACCAAAATGTACAGCTATTTAACGAAAAGGACACACACAATATATAGCACAATTTATTGCCCAGCATATTTCACTACATCCCATCACATGCACTACTACAGTATACAGTAGCATACAATGGCCGATAGCTAGCTGACTGCGGATGCTCTCTGTTTTCAGCTAGGTTCTACAGAGGCACATTTTCCCATTCAGGACTGGAAGTCCACAGGTTCCATCACCCAGCTATTAAGATAATGTTTGAATGTTTCTTTCTGTTGTGTCTGCAGCAAGTTGGCTGCACTAAAATGGCAGGTCAGGCTGTTGACTATGTTGAGAACGGCAGGTAGTTTTGTGGTGTAATGGTGGCTATTGTTATCAACCGTCTGCGCCAACAGTAAACTTCAGTTCTGGCATGGAACCGTTGGTTTTGGAAGATCTGACAGTTGCTTTAACTTCTTTCTGCTTCGCGCTAACCGGCTATAAACTCCGGTGGAAAATCTGGGTTGTTTGCAAATCTTCAGTCTTGTTCCACAACCTCAGTGTTGCATGCACACCCGTTTAACAGACCTGACCTAATTGTATGCAGATTGTTGGTTCCTTGCCTTTCAGGGAGATGCACCCCGACTTCAAAGCAAGCCCCCAGTTAGTTGACTTTTACAACATGCTTGTTGTGGAGGCAGTGGGTCTATTCATGTTTTCCCCTCAGTGGAGCCCCAGAACCCACATGGGAAAGTTGCTTTATATATTTTGACTTTCCATGTGCAAGCTTCAAGATTTTACTTGGGCTGACAAGTTTTTCAAATGGGATAGTGAAGGATATTTGGCATGATTTCCACTGGCACGGGAACAAAGCAGTTATGGGGCGAAACACCTGCAGTGAAGTTGCAACCTCGACCAATGACCAACAATGAAACCTAAAAATGAATAATTTTTAACTGAAATATACATATCATGTTGTCTTTTGCTACACTATATGTCTCACTACAGAAATCTAAGATTAACTACATGATCCTTCTGCTTACATAACAAGGATTTGCCAGTCCTGGTTCCCATTGATTAGGACCGGCACTTTCACCTTGGCTGACTAGGTGCCTCTAAACTACTCAAGTTCCACAATATGTACACAGCAAATCAGCCACATCAAGGGATTCTTCGATGACCGGCTGAACTCCCAAATCTGACTCCCTCAGCACACAGCCGACAGCCACCATCAACAAGGGTCTCCCCTCGTAAATAGAATTGGTTGTCTTGTTTCAGTATTGAATGCCAACACGCGCCGTCACCCAAAATAAGTTTCTCACAAAGGAGCACACAGCTCAACTCTCTCCTAAACTATCTATTCCTCCAGCTGCTCAAGTTTATAAACTCAACTAGAGCATTCTGAATTATACATTAAATTTGAATGAATCATCCAACTCTCACCAGAATAAAAATAATACTCACAATTACGAATAAAGTCACATACATCTCTATATACATCCGCACTATATCAACAACTGAGAGGCACCGACTAGACAAGGGCTAACTTTCAGCTCAGCGGCTAATCACGCTCGTCTCTCAGTTTTATTGTGTGGACCTTTTGCACTCGCGCCTTTGCCATCATCATCATGGAGCGTCTCCACGACCCAAAAAGGCAATCACGTCTCCTACCCCTGGTACACATTTTCAGTATGCCTTTACATCCCCAGTTATTTCCTTATACCCTTTACATCCCCAGAACATATATGCAAAAGTTCCCAAGTGGACTATCAGATGACTAACTGGGAAGTATACTCTTTGGAAGTATACCAATGGGTAATTGGGGAGTATGAGACGGACAGTAGTTCTGTTCTGCAATCACAAGTTCATCTTCATTGTCATACTGTGTTTCATCATTCCTGATTGCATCAGGTTATCCCATAATAGTCTCGGTCTTTCTTAACAGAATCACTAGTCAAGTTAGTCACACAAAGCGCAAGTTCTGTAGCTCATGTGATGATGTACAGGGATCTCCATATATAAACCACCCATGATCTCAATGACCCATCCGTGAAATGAATCTATGACCTTTAAAACTTGAGGCAAACATCTTGATTACTCTGCCACGAAGCCCCTATCTCATGTGTACATACAACTGCCGACGACAATCTATACAAATATTATCGCAGGAGTGTGAAGTGATAAGGCTAAATACTCCCTGTTTTGGTTCTGAGGCCCATTTTGGGGGGAAATCAAAGACACACTGCCCTCTAACAAGCATGTCCTAAAAGCTGACTAATTAGGAATGTTTCCTTCAAGTCAGAGTCGATCTGCCTGAGGGGTGAGGAAGTCAAGAAGTGGATGAATAACCCAAACTTTCCTTTGCAGTTTACAGCCAGTGAATGTGAAGAAGAGGAAGAAATAAGTAATCATCAAACAACAGTCCAGTAAATAAAACTAAGATAACTCCTTATACATTTACCTGTGTGAGTCCTGAGATGGGGCTCATAATCTCCCTTGCTGTAAAAAAGGCGCCCACAGTACTCACACTCCTCTGTGCCAAAAGTCTCCCTCATCTTATTAAAGATCTGCATGCTCATCTTTCTGTAACCCAATCTGCGAATCAAACCTTCGATTTTCTCTTGTTTTGTTACTGCAGTTTTCACATCATCTTTTGAGTTGTTACTGTTAACCTGCTCATCTGTTTCGTTGTCTAGCTCTTCAGGACCTGTAGGACATGCAAATCGGGAGTTTCAAGTACTGCATATGCCCACTACAATATAACTGAAGTAGATATTTAGAATAGGGCTATTCAACTGTTGTCCTAAAGGCTGAATCAGGCCTACAGAGGCCTAGCAAGTAGCCCATGGATCCCTGACAATCGTATTTTTTATGCTGGGGGTGACCCGTGACGATCCCTGTTTTCAACATTTTGGCACTTGAGTAAACTAGGGCTTTCATGTTGACTCAGCCTGATACCAGGAAATATCTAGGGATCTAAAGGGTACCATGAAATATCCGGGGATGTAAAGGGTACCGGGAAAGTTCTGGGGATGTAAAAAAAGGTACCAGGAAATATCTGGGGATGTAAAGGGTATCAGAAAATGTCTAGGGATGTAAAGAGAACCAGGAAATGTCTAGGGATTGAAAGGGTGCCAGGAAATGTATAGGGATGTAAAGAGAACCAGGAAATGTCTAGGGATTGAAAGGGTACCAGAAAATGTCTGGGGGTGTAAAGGGTACCAGGAAAGTTCTGGGGATGTAAAGGGTACCAGGGATGTCCTTGTGTGGGTTTCGGTGAAGGGTACAATTGAGAGAATAGACTCACTGCCTCCCTAACAAACACAACGTAGGAGGCGACTAATTAGGGATTTCTTTAGTCAGGGAGCATTTGTCTGAGAGGCAAAGGAACCAAAAGTCTGCATACAAATAAGCCTGATCTCTAAAACAGATGTACAATCAAAACTCAAGTTTTGGATCAAGACCAAAGTTCAGGAGGGGACAAACAACCAGAACTTTTTGCCGGAGTTTAAAGCCAGTAAACACTAAAAAGTAGAAGAAAAGGTCAAGGGAAGAAAAGGCAGAAGAAATGATGCTGACTAAGTCACCCTTTGAGTGCCAATTCGTGTATAAAAATATGGGTCTAATATCATATACCCTAAGCAGTACTTGCAGGAAAAGGACCCTTCGCTTTACTAACACTGAATTCCCTGTGTGGGTTCTAGGACCCCAGCATAAGGGAAAAGAGAATAGACCCCTTTGCGCACCCAACATGCATGTCACAGCAGTCAACTAATTTGGGACGTCCTTGAAAGTCAAGAGTGCATCTGCCTCAGAGGCAAGGAACCAGCAGTCAGATCTGTACAATGGATGTGCATGCGACACTCAGCCTCTGGAATAGAACTTGAGCCCTAATGTGGGCGAACGACCAGAACTTTCCACCGGAGTTTACAGCCGGTGAATGTGAAGAGGAAAAAGAGACTAACACTGTCTCATGTTCACTCACCTAGGTCCTCATCAAGTTCATTGCTGGAGACATCTGCTGGCGATATTTTCTTCTCTTCAGCATCATCTACAACATCAGCACCTTCTTCCCCTAAACCTGCAGCAGT